TGGGGTTCTTGTGTATGCAAGTTATTTAAAGGGGTCCTATTATGCTCTTTTACAAAGTCTTGATTTTGTTTTGGGGGTGTACTAGAACATGCTCTCTTATTTTTCACATCATTTACATTATTAAAATACCTTTCTCCCCAGGCTGGCACAAACGGCTCGATTAGTTCCGGCTTTGATGAAGGTCCACCTTCCAAAAAACAAAATGTGTTGTGATTGGTTAGCTGTCCCAGTGCGTTGTGATTGGCGAACAGCTTAGACAGTGTTTCATTACTCCGTCTTTCAACAAAAACTTTTTGGCGAATCCGGCACTGTACTCCCTCATGTTGTGGAAGCTGTCCTCAGTAAAATGCGCAGCACACAATAGCAAATTGGGGTTATAATGCTCAGGAACAGAGTTAAAAAATAAATTGCAACCACTGTTTCCTGACTTCATCCGCTTTCGGAAGCCCAAACAAAGACGTTTGGGCACGGAGGTGAAAAAAAACAGCGTTTCAGGCGGTCGCTCACCGGACGAGAAGCGCAGCGTCGCGTCATGCCACGTCTTTAAAATTCACACCGGCGGCGCCGTTCGGCGTCTGTTCGCGGCGCCCAGCTACGTCATGTTATACTTGTAAGAATTGTTCTAGACATGCCGAAAATTTGAAGCTGCAGCACAGCAGCTCTTCTTCTTCATCGTCTCGTCTGATGCACTCACTCAACCAAGCGTTCTAACCACAACCTCGCCCCTCCCCACCCCCCAACCTTTCGAATTTCTGTAAGCGGGAATTATTTTTAATGATATTCTAATGAGCCGCTTTGTGATATCATAAAGCCCGGAAAACAAACGCTGTAGTCCAAACGAGCCGTTCGTTGTAGTTCTTGAAAAGGGATTTTTTTAAAAACGAAATAGCCCAACAAGCAATAGCCGTCATTTCAACGTCTTGGTTAAGGATAGACCCGATATAGTCCGGCTATGTGTAACCCACTTCTAGCCCAAATAACCTTGAATTTGGTTTCATGTCGTTTTTTGGCTAAATAACTTGTGAGATGTATGGTATTCCGTCATGTAAGCAAAGTCAACAGCATTTACAGGGTGTTTGGTTTCATTTCTTTGACATGTTCAATACGTAGCCTGTGCGTAGCAACGATTTAGCTCGTAGTCCGAGCGGCTATCTGTAGCCCACTTATAGTCAAACTTGATTCACTGTAGTTTTTGGCCAGACAACGCATGAGATGGTTGATATCCCATCATGTTCGCAGTGTCAATAATATCTACAAAGATATAAGTGTCATTTCATGACATGGTCTATATGTAGCCACGATTTAGCTCTAAATTGGATGGGCTACGTGTAGTCTGCTTTTAGCCCACCTGGCGAAATCGAGGCAATATGTGGTCTAATTTTAACGGCTTGGCTATAGCCCTATACCAGTAACCAGACCAGCGATGAGCATGGCCAAAATAGCCTTAAAATTGTTTACATGTAATTTTTGCCCACGCAGCTTCTTATCAAATGCAAGTAAACATTTGAATCATTTAAATTAGCATTATTTTATATTTTATTTAATTATTTTACAGCATTATTAAATATAGCCTTATTTATTATGCCAAAAATAATGCTAATTTAAATGTTTCAAAAGTTTACTTGCATTTGATAATATGATGTCATGCATCCCACAAGCTGTTATGTTACAATCATACACATTATATGATATTATTGATATTCATTTTATAAATAAATGTGCAATTACAATTCCAAACCGCTAGATGGTAATTGTAGCCCTACTGAGACATGACTACTGGCAACGTTAGAGATCAGTGTTATGTTTTGAATTTTTTTTACACGAGAGAGCAGTTTACTTGTAGTGATGGGAAGTTCGGATCATTTTACCGACTCGGACCTTTGAGTCTCGTTCAGCAAAATGAACGAATCTTTTTCCGAGTCATTTCGTTCTTTTTAACAAAATATAATTAAAATGTTACGTGCTACTTCCCTAATATGTCTACTACTTACGCAAACGTTGATCACACTACAAACAATACAAAACTGGGTCTTCAGTCTATGATTAGCTCGCCTCACCTCTTATCTGACGAGTCTTCGGGTTTGGGCTTATGGGGCTGTCACGTGATGAACGAACGACTCGGAAAAACCCGAAGACTCGAACCAGGTGAACTACTTGACTAATTCCAGTACAGAACCTACAGGATGTTGCGCATGCGCGACTGAACGAATCACTCCCCGAGACGACTCGTTCTCGAGCCGTTCGTTGTAGTTCTTGAAAAGGGATTTTTTTAAAAACGAAATAGCCCAACAAGCAATAGCCGTCATTTCAACGTCTTGGTTAAGGATAGACCCGATATAGTCCGGCTATGTGTAACCCACTTCTAGCCCAAATAACCTTGAATTTGGTTTCATGTCGTTTTTTGGCTAAATAACTTGTGAGATGTATGGTATTCCGTCATGTAAGCAAAGTCAACAGCATTTACAGGGTGTTTGGTTTCATTTCTTTTGTTCAAGAACGACCCAACACTTGTCGGAGAGCAGCGGGCAAACAACAAACGATGAAGGACATACCTACTTGGTCTTGTAAGTATCTGTGTTTTCGTTTTGACATCGTAGTTGATAGTGACCCTTGACTAGGCCCACGGTTCAGCACGCATGTGTTCAGAGGATTCATTGCAAAATTTAATAGAGTAAATGTTTTATAATTTGTATGTGTTTACAAACTCAATCGATTTTAAAACAGCGCAAGAGCAAACAACAGAACAAACACAGCTTTGACAAAGATTAATCCATATAAATTTTTACAGTGAATGCACTCAGAAGAATTGGAGAAACTGAGGTGGAGTTTCAACATCTGGAAAAGATCCGGGCAGCAATTGTAAAAAAAATAAATAAATAAGAAAAACCTCTCCAAAACAACATTTCCTCACTAAAGCTCTCATCTTTGACAAAGTACGTCATTTATTTTAATTATTATATTGAATTTGTTACTTGTTAGATACAGAGAGAGCATGAGCTAATTGAATAAGAATATCTTTGTCACTGTACAAGTAACGTTACAATAAGATTTATTTTGAAACTTCCAATTTGATAGTAAAGCTTAAGAATACAAATAATAAGTGCAAATAGCTCAGATGTGCAATGCAGCATTCAAACCTAAACAGAAAACATAATGTAATAAAACAATAGGAGTGAATTTATTATTCCATGTACATTTGAGGTTAATGTGTGTACTGGGCTACTTTTTAGTTACAGCAGCTATCACTGTGTTATGAAGTCAGTTGTGCCAGACAATTCTGGAGGCAGAGACAGATTGTGGGGGGCACTATATGGAAAAACTTAAACTGCTGGAATAAAGAGTTTTAAAGGGTTAGTGATGGAAACTTGCAGGTCAATGGGCATCAGTGTTTAAGGTTGGTAAACACTTGTACACAGACACATATAATACTACCCGCCTGACATTGGCATGTGTTATTCAGGTGTCAAAGTTGTGCAGAGTTGAAGGAAGAAACCTCAAAGACAGTGCCAGAAGGATGCTGGACGGGTAAAGCCTACAAATCTTGCCACATTAATTGAACATTGTGGTGTCAATAATCAATAAGTTACAACGCAAATCAGACATTTAAAAAATAATTCCTTTACTAGTCATTTTGAAATGTCAAACTTTGTCTGCAATTGTTAACCACCTCAATCTGTGTTATATTTTAGGGTTTTAAAAAAATTCCCTCCTATCCAAATTCAACATGAAGAGGGGTGGTCCGCTGCAGAAAGAGGCATTTGAAAAGACGGCACTGTTCTCGGTCATCAGAGGTATGTGTATAAAACACACAACATTTACCAGAGAGCTTCTCTCTTTTTTAACACACTGAATGGTGATACACTATATATATATATATATATATATATATAATTTTTGTTTTTAGTAGGCATCCAAGCAAAAGAGAATGATTCCCTGTCACAATTAGTGTAATTAAAGTAAAAGATTTTGTCAAGCTTTTCTTGTGCTTTTTTTTTCTTATTTGTCAGATGCTGTGATGACCAACTTCCCGGCAGCAACAGAGTTGGACTTGAGGAATGCAGTTGGGAGGCATTTTAAACAAAAAATAAAACCAATAATTAATCATTTCCTTTAAGTTCACTGTTGTTTGTTTTATTTGTTAAAAGTAAACCAGCAAAAGGGTTAATCTTTTTTATGTTGTCATTTATCTGTAATGTTAAGTGTGATAACATGCTCTTGATTTGTATTAGATTTTTTTTTTCTTTTAAATATCTAAAGTTATTTAAAATATTTAAATGTTTTCATGTTTATATTTTTATTATCTTAAGTTGTTAAAAACTCCAGATTTTTCTATCATAATATTTATATTTGTGTATTGTATTTATACAATTTTATTTTGTCATTAATTATTTTGTATTTTTATCATTTTGTATTGTCTTAAAATGTCCAAGTCGTTAAAAATGTTATTTTTCTTAATAAAAGCTGTATAGTCAAAGATGAGAGCTTTAGTGAGGAAATGTTGTTTTGGAGAGTTTTTTTTTTTATTATTTTATTTTATTTTTTACAATTGCTGCCCGGATCTTTTCCAGATGTTGAAACTCCACCTCAGTTTCTCCAATTCTTCTGAGTGCATTCACTGTAAAATGTGGATTGCCATTTTGTTGTCTATTAGACGTATATATGTAGTCGTTTATTAGCCGTCTAATTGATGACTAGTCTATAAATGGGCTATGATTAGACGTCTATTAGATTTTCACTGACAGCCCAAATTTAGCCTCGTTTTAGCCTAGACGTCTAGGCTATATTTAGACGTCTAATAGACGTCTTTTAAACGCAAAATTGCTTGCTGGGTTTGAGGTGTCCTCAAAATAAAAATTCTATATCCTAAAATTGTTTGAAAAATATGTCAGTCTCCTCCTCTGCTGTGGGTGCGTTAGAAAGGCTTGAATGGGCCAAGTAGGTTAGTAATACGACCGAGTAGCTGTTGAGCAATATTTAACTTTCAATTGAGCGACCTACACTGGGCGTGACTTTCTGTAAATCTTGGACACTCGCGTTGTTCGCGTATTATCTCCTCATTTCTTGTCATATCTCCTATTGGACTCTGATGTTTAAGTTGTGCGGTGATGACAAGCACTTTCACTTTTAAAGTAACAGTCGCAAAACCTGGACGAATCGTGTGAAGTGCTTCATAAAGCCTGTTTTCCTCCGGACCAGTCTTCTAGGTTTTCTCAGCCAGAGGCTCTTTGATAATGTTGGAGTGTTTATTGACGATCTTTCTGGGCTTTATCTCCGTGCTGCTGTTCTGCGCTTTCTGCGGACGCAGAAGGTGAGTTTTCTGATATTTTGCTGCATGTTGGCAAATGTAGTCATGTAGACGATTTTCAATAGGCAGACGCCTTTTGTTCAAATATTTGAAGAAACATGATGCATCAACAGATTCATGATTAGTGTGAATGTCCAAACAGATGAAACTAAATGTTATAATCGTCATTCATCACTTAAAGTACATTTAAGCCGCGTTGGTACTGAAGTGTCTGTTAAGACGATATGAATAATTCACAGCAGGACTGGCAGCTTGTTTACTCCGTTTGAAATTGAACCTTTCAATAGAAGGCTTCCAGTGCGGGTAGTCCCACAAGAATCTTTTCTTTCGAACAATATGAACCGATTCAGTGACTCGATTACGTAATCGCGTTGTCCTCTAATTAATAAAGCCATATGTAGAGGTACAATTTTTTATTACATGTTATTTATAAAGATGCTTATAATTTAATTGGTTGCAGTACCATTTGTTGCAGCCATGATTTGGTTTATAAATCATTACGTCATCTTAAAGGGGTCCTATTATGCTTTTTCACTTTTTTAATTTTAGTCAGTGTGTAGTGTGTATGTTTGGGCATAAAAAAACCCCAATTTGCTATTGTGTGCTGCGCATTTTACTGAGGACAGCTTCCACAACATGAGGGAGTACAGTGCCGGATTCGCCAAAAAGTTTTTGTTGAAAGACGGAGCAAGGGGCGTGGCAGTACTGAAACACTGTCTAAGCTGTTCGCCAATCACAACGCACTGGGACAGCTAACCAATCACAACACTTTTTGTTTTTCGGAAGGCGGACCTTCATCAAAGCCGGAACTAATCGAGCCGTTTGTGCCAGGCTGGGGAGAAAGGTATTTTAATAATGTAAATTATGTGAAAAATAATGCGTTTTTCGAACCACCAAGCATGAGAGCATGTTCTAGTACACCCCCAAAACAAAATCAAGACTTTGTAAAAGAGCATAATAGGACCCCTTTAAATATAATTCTTTAATTATATATTATATTTTATAATATAATTCTAACCAATCGTTCAGAGCTGCGTTTCCCAAAAGCATCGTATCTGTAGTAGATCGTATTAGAGACCACTGGTACATGCATTGTGAACTGGTTTAAATGGTTAATTGAAAAAATTTGACTGAAAGATCGACTCATTCACGAATCGGCATTATTTTGGAGCAAACTAAGATCCTATTGATTCAAAACCTCTTGTTTGCATGTTGAAACAAGGATGTGCATTGCAACATAACTGAAGCACACTGCATGTAACCTATTAACACACAACTGTTAAAGGGGTCATGTGATGCGATTTAACATTTTAATTTCTCTTTGGAGTGTTACAAGCTATTGGTGCATAAAGAAGATCTGTAAAGCTGCAAAGACTAAAGTCTCAAATCCAAAGAGATATTCTTTATAAGAGTTAAGAGTCAATCACGCCCTCCTAAAACGGCTAGTTCTAACACGCCCCAACATATCTACCTCACTATGTGGGAAGATTTGCATAACACCACCCAAATGTTCAGGCAAAGAAAGAAGTCGTAACTTTGATTCTCGCTGTAGTATTGTTGCTGCTGCTGCCGCCGCCATGTTGTGGAGACGCTGTGTGTTTCGTTGTGAAAGCGAAACTACTTTGTTTGGCCTTCCAAAAGAGGACGATATCCGCTTCGTCATACCTAGAGCTGAACCGTGCTGGTCGCTGAGGATCACCAGATCGGCTTTCACCATGGACGAAGCGGAGTCCAGCCCAGGGTCGTCACATGTGGTTGCCACAAGCGGCCCAGCCGCTCCTTTGTCGAATCCGCTGTGTTTCGTTGTGAAAGCGAAACTACTTTGTTTGGCCTTCCAAAAGAGGACACAACTAGAAATCAGTGGTTAAGTTGTATTTACAACACTGTTCCAGAACAGTTCAACCCAAATATTCAGATGTGTGCAGCACATTTTGCGGATGAGGACGGTTTCCTGTGAGAGTAGCCTACAATGCCGGTGTTTGTTTCTATAAAGTGGGGCAGTTCCAACTTTGCTAGGACAGTCTGGTACTCACAGCCTGTAAGTACGTTTTTTATATTTAAAGAATTTGCCACTGACGATTCAAACGCGAGTTTTGAGTAGTGTAGAGTAGCGCTTGTTGTTTGTCGTTTCTCCAGACATGGTTTTATGTTTACGCAGCGCGATACACAACGAATAAAAAGACAGTATAAGTCATTGTAATCAGTAATTATGTCCCCACTGGATGCAACAAATGCCTCATTTGTAATGGGTTTTATTGTTTTTGTCTTGTCGCGCCGGGACACAGGGCATCACAGTATGTTAAGGGGCGTAACATTTCCGTCACATGCTTGAGGTATTCAGCCAATCACAACGCACTGGATAGCTGGCCAATCGGAGCACACCTCGCTTTTCAGAACGATGAACTTTGTAAACATCAACACGTTTCAGAAAGGCGGGGCATAGAGAAGCAACAATAATGTACATTATGTGGAAAATAATGTGTTTTTTTAACCTTAAACCGCATAAACACATTGCATTACACCAAATACACAACATAATGTTCTTTTTAGCAGCATCATACGACCCCTTTAAGTTAACCTGAAAATTAACATCCGTACTTAATTTGTGTATAGTCTCTGTGCAGAGGCTTTTAGTCAGAGATTTACCCCACTATGGGCTGCAGTGTTTACTTGTTCAGTTAGCGAGCTGCAGTCTCAAAAGGATGTTTGGAGAACTAATTCCCAAAGGGCCACCCCATCCTTTTCTGGTCAGTCTCTAAAAGTAGGACATGGGAGATATACATCAGCAGTAGATCATTACACAGTATTCTCAGTAACTGAGTCCTGGTTTTATCATTTGAGATAAAACTTGCTGTTAAAACAAACTGAAACAATGAAGCATTTTGTTTAGCACAATTATATCATTGCTTTACCACAGAGAACATTAAGTAAGCAGGTGAACTATGTGGTTGGGGTTTGTTTGAGTTTGTGTGTTTGTCTGAGTGAGTATTATATAATGACATAGAATGGCAGTCTCTTAGACATAGTTGAAACGAGCATGTTAAAAAAAAAAAACATGACTGTTACATTGTGTGTGCATGCTGCAGGAAGGACGGTGAGCCGCCGCTGATTAAAGGCTGGATTCCATTCATGGGAAAAGCTTTAGAATTCAGAAAAAACTCTCAGCAGTTTCTTACACAACTGCAGCAGGAGCATGGAGATATTTTTACTGTACTTATAGCAGGTACATCTGACAAACACACACACATGTTTATTTAGCATTATTTATACACAAATATATATATTTTTAAACGAGAACATCTGACTTCTAACAAAATGAATATTTTGTCATTTTTAACTGAACTTTGTACTCCCTGGTTTCCTTTTGCTCTTCCTCTCAGACACACTGTTATGCAACACATGCTGACATAGTTATTGTAATTAAAAAGATATGGTCCTGAAAGAGGATAGCAATTTTTTAATAGCTTAAAATAAGGTTACAGTTTTTATAACCGTAAAAGAGAAAGTGTATATTTTAGATCAGGGGAGCCCAACCCTGCTCCTGGCGATCGACTCTCCTGCAAAGTTCAGCTCCAACCCTAATCAAACACACCTGAAGCAACTAATTAAGGTATTCAGGATCACTTAAAAAGTAAAGGCAGGTGTCTTTGATTAGAGTTGGAGCTAAACTTTGCAGGACAGTCGATCGCCAGGAGCAGGGTTTGAACCGTAAAAGAGAAAGTGTATATTTTAGATCAGGGGAGCCCAACCCTGCTCCTGGCGATCGACTCTCCTGCAAAGTTCAGCTCCAACCCTAATCAAACACACCTGAAGCAACTAATTAAGGTATTCAGGATCACTTAAAAAGTAAAGGCAGGTGTCTTTGATTAGAGTTGGAGCTAAACTTTGCAGGACAGTCGATCGCCAGGAGCAGGGTTTGCACACCTGTTTTAGATGCTTTAATTCATCACCGTTTTACCCCCCCCATGTCATTTTTCAATAAATTTGAGGTGATTTTTATTATTATTATTTTGTACTTTTTTTCGGGGTAGTTTCTAGGTGGTTTACTAAACAAAATCAAAAGAGTCCACTCTGACTCAGAAAGTCTGATATTATGGTACAGTACCTATATTTGTTCCTCCTTGGAGTTTTATTTTATTTTTTATTTGTTTTGTTTGTGTGTTTTTATTTTATTTTGTCTTCTTGAGAATTGTAAGTCTGTAGCACCAAGAGAAAGTTACAAGTTGTGAAATCCTTAGAGATTAGTTCTAAGTGATGTTAGCAGACACAACTAAAATCATGCAAAAAATATAGAACAAAAAATTATCTGGAAAAAAAAACATTATCTGAAGTAGAGCTTGTCAAACTGCTGGACATTATGCATTATGTCATGACATACAGCTATTTATTTTGTATGTTTCTTTAGGAAGGTACATAACATTCATAATGAACCCCCTCCAGTACCCGTCTGTGATCAAACATGGAAAACAGCTGGATTTTCACACGTTTTCAGACAGCGCAGCATCCAGGACGTTTGGTTACCCACCGGTCCTGAGTGGCCTCTTCCCTGGAATGAATGACAGCCTCAAGCGGAGTTACACTCTGCTGCAGGGGCCTGCCCTCGACCCGCTCATGTTCAGCATGATGGGAAACTTACAGCAGGTCCTGCGACGCCGTTTTCTGCCCAGTGAAGCGTCTGGGTCTGATGGCGACTGGCAAGAGGCGGAACTATATGAGTTCTGTAAATGCGTAATGTTTCAGACCACATTTAACACGCTATATGGACATTCGTCAAATCTGCATCTGGATCAGCTGCGAGAGGACTTTGAGAAGTTCGATGCCATTTTCCCTTTACTAATGGCCTGTGTTCCCATCGCCTTGCTGGGAAAGACCAAAGAAATTCGTGAGAAGCTGACAAGATTTTTCCATCCTCAAAGAATGGCAGAATGGAGGGCTCCATGCGAGTTCATACAGACCCGAACGGCCCTGTTCCAGGAGTATGACACGCTTCAGGACAGAGATAAAGCAGGTGACTCTCCCACATGCACACACACAAACATACACACTCATACAGAAAATCTAAAATCCTTCTTGCGGGGCCCACATATGACTGTGAAGTGTGTTGCTTATGGTAAATGTCCCATCTACAGAAGTATGATAATTTTCCCATCATGACATGAAGAACCCTGGTCTTCAGATTTTGTGCACCAAAAGAGATTATTTAAATATTAAGTAAATGTACCACAATTCTCACAAAAAAGGAGTGTTTACACAGACTTTTTACAGTAGTTTTAGAGGCAGCATAGATGCTGTCCTTAAGCATGTATTAAACAATAACACTAAACGAACAGAAATATGCAATGTAAAAAATGACCGTGAATTTAACAGTAAAAGACTGTAAAAATGCTACAGTAAAAACCTGTTAAATGGTTAACGGTAAATTCCCCCACTATATACGGTGAAAAACTGTATTGGACATTACATGTAATTTTACGGTAGTATTCCGTTTTTGGAAGTGAAAAAGACTGTATAATTTACAGTGAATAGCCATTTTTTGTTGAAATAACTATGTTTCTTCTTAGTTTTTTCTTATCAGTTTTGTATATTAGGGTTGTGTGTTACACCTAATGTTGTTAAATGAATGTTTATTGCATTATTTCAGTTTCATGTGTGTTACCATGATGGTGTTTAGTGTTTGTGTGAATGCCACTGTGCACCTTCTATATATGTTATTATTGAAAAGCTTCTTGTGATGGGCTTTGGTTCATCGTGACTTTCTCATCACCACCTGCATTTGGTGGTTATCAGTGTATTACAAAGGTACAAAACAGATTTCAGTACTTCAGTAGGTTGATATATTAACATTATTTCAGTTAATGAAATTACGGTATTTAACTGTAAATTTAAGTTAAAACCTAAAATGGTGCTACCGTATTTTTTACGGTAAAATTCTGGCAATCACAGCTGCCGGTTTTTTACCGTAAATTTTACAGAATTTTTTTACAGTGTGGTTAATGTGTCAATTTAACTACACTTTGTTATATGAACAGTAAGTACACAGTGTTAAGTCTCATAGTTAGTTGTAATCTGTATGGTTGTGTTTCAATAAAATGAATCAGATCATAAGAGTAATTGGTCCAGGAATCGGACTTTACTAGTTGCGCTGTCTGTTTTGCGCTTAAGATTGACAATAATTAGGGCACTATGAAATCCATTTTACTTTTTGCCAAATTCTGTTTTTTCAATTAAAATTTTTCTAGACTCTGTTTTAATGGTTAAATTAAATTTTATTAATAAAAAAGCATGCCTAAAAGCATTTAAATTGAAATCATAAAGCTTACACAATTTAACATCAATTTATTAAAAGTTGAACAAAAATTACATTTTTAAGGCCTTATGAAATATGTTATATTTTTTCTCAGATTCAGTTTTTTTTTAACTAAATTCTGTGTTTTCCAGTAATTTTCTGGATTCCATTTTAATTGTTTCATTAAATTGTAGTAATCAAAAAACAAACAAAAAAATTATTATTTTATTTTACTTTTACATTTTTTTCCTTCAGAAATACTGTGTTTTTCTGGTAAATAATTTTTATAATAAATATTGCTTTAAAATTATGTTTTAATGCAAATTTTATTAGTAGCAATAGCAAAATTATATGCGTTATACAGTACATTTTTTATGACCTGATTCCTTGATTCTGTCTGCATTTTCCTCTTCTTTTTTTTTCTTTTCATTTTTCCTTGACAGGACAGTAGAGATATGATAGGAAGTGAGTGGGAGAGTTAGAATGGGGGAGTTGGGAATGGGAAAGGTCCATGAGGCAGGATTCGATCTCGGGACACCCGAAGCGCAACTGCGCCATATACACACACACACACACTTTAATTTCAGTTTTAGTGATTTTTTTTTTTTTGATACTTCAAATTAAACTTGTTTTATTTCATGTAGTTGCCAGGGCAGCATTTATTGTCAGACATTATTGCTGATTTGACTCGTTTTAATGAATCATAATCTTGACAAACTGCTTTGGAGATTTCGGTACTTCCCCATTCAAGTATAAAAGACTTGTACATGCATGCCTGTTCCCCACATTAGAGAGTTAGAATGGGAAAGGTCCATGAGGCAGGATTCGATCTCGGGACACCCGAAGCGCAACTGCGCCATATACACACACACACACACTTTAATTTCAGTTTTAGTGATTTTTTTTTTTTTGATACTTCAAATTAAACTTGTTTTATTTCATGTAGTTGCCAGGGCAGCATTTATTGTCAGACATTATTGCTGATTTGACTCGTTTTAATGAATCATAATCTTGACAAACTGCTTTGGAGATTTCGGTACTTCCCCATTCAAGTATAAAAGACTTGTACATGCATGCCTGTTCCCCACATTATATTCCTGCCTTGGGGTGTTGCCAAGATGACTGTTGATAACTGGCTTGTAAATTGACTTGTGTTAAAGGGTCTTTTTGCCATCAGTTTCTGTCTGATGAAATGCTGGATGCAGGATGTGCATGAACAAATACAGTATTACACACAACGAACGCTCATCGTGACTTTGCTGCATTGGTTTGGACCAGTGCCCAATGGTTTACACACACATACACTTAGCTTTCTTTCTGTCTCTGTCCACAGCACATCATTTTGCCATGCTGTGGGCATCAGTGGGAAACACTATCCCAGCAGCCTTCTGGTGTCTTTACCACCTCATCTCCTGCCCGGAAGCCCTTGAAGCAGTGAGAGCAGAGATTGTCAATGTGGTTGGAGAGAAGAACATGCAGTTGGTCTTTGAAGAAGACATCACAATTACACGACAGCAACTAGAACAGATGGTTTACCTGGGTAACACACACACATTCTTACATAGTAACCCATCAAACACATTTTAATTATTGTCTAAGCAGTGCTATCGATTTTAAGTTACTATGCCAGTTTTCAAGTTCAGTCTTTTTCTCTCTACAGAGAGTTCAGTAAACGAGAGTTTACGTCTCTCCTCTGTATCAATGAACATCCGTGTGGTTCAGGAAGATTTCTATTTGCGTCTGGATGCCCAGCATTCAATCAACGTACGAAAAGATGACATTGTTGCTCTTTACCCACAAACCACACACCTTGACCCTGAAATATACGATCAGCCTCAGGTAACATGCATCTGCAGCTGCCTAGATCAGTGATTCTCAACCAGAACGCCTCTTACTTCAAGCCTCAGTAATTATTATCAATGCTGAAGACAATTTTTGCTGCTTCATATTATTGTGGAAACTGCAATTATTATTTTATTATTATATTACCATTCAAAAGTTTAGGGAGAGTAAGATTTCAAAAAAGAAATGAATACATAAATTAATACTTATTACTAAATTAATCAAAAGGAAAGACTTGTAAAGAATGGTACAACATGATTCTGTTCTGAATAAATGCTGTTCTTTTGAATTTTCTACTCATAACAAAATGCTGAAAAAAAATCTGAGGATTTCCACAAAAATATTAAACAAATACCATTTTCATCATTGATGATAATAAGAATTATTATCAATAATTGAGTATCAATAATACCAGCATACTGTAATGATTTCTGAAGGATCACGTGACACAGAAGACTGGAGTAATTACCATCAAAGGAATAAATTACAATTTATTACTCATCCAATAAATCCTAAACAACTAGAAGTCACAGCTTTTGAATACTGTTATGGACAACGGGGGACATGAAGTCAAAAAGTTGAGAATCACTGCTCTAGATCCACCTAGCAGACCTCATTGTAAACATACTTCTTTATTGTTAGAAAACGTATTTATTGAAATGTCTTTTATGTGTGGTTTCTTGTAGCGCTTCCAATTTGACCGTTTTGTGGAGGATGGGAAGGAAAAAACAGATTTTTATAAATGTGGCCAGAAGGTCCGGTACTACCGTATGCCTTTCGGCTCTGGAGCCACACAGTGTCCAGGGCGGTTTTTTGCGATGAATGAGCTGAAGCAGTTTGTGTGTGTGGCCTTGCTCATGTGGGAAATGCAGTGGCTGGAGAACCAGCAGGAGGCGATGCTAGACAACAGCCGTGCTGGTCTGGGCATCATGCCACCTGCTAATCAAATCACTTTCAGATACAGAACTAGAAAACCAGGGGACAGTATGAAGAGGGATGAATTAACTAAATGAATAGAGAGTGACTGTCGTCTGGTCAGTGCTTGTGTATTTTCCTTTCATTTTTTCACAGGGTGCATGCAAAGATTTTGTAAATAATGCAAGCTGCAGTATACATAACACTGCCATGGAAAAATCTCATCTTTGAATGAGCTAAACATACAGTATACACTGCAGTTTGAATCAGGGTTGATGCATTACAGTGAACAGCTTTCTTTGTATAGTATCTCACAGAAGCGAGTACACCCCTCACATTTTTGTAAATATTTTATTATATCTTTTCATGTGACAACACTGAAGAAATGACACTTTGCTACAATGTAAAGTATTGAGTGTACAGCTTGTATAACATTGTAAATTTGCTGTCCCCTCAAAATAACTCAACACACAGCCATTAATGTCTAAACCGCTGGCCACAACAGTGAGTACACCCCTAAGTGAAAATGTCCAAATTGGGCCCAATTAGCCATTTTCTCTCCCGGTGTCATGTGACTCATTAGTGTTACAAGGTCTCAGGTGTGAATGGGGAGCAGGTGTGTTAAATTTGGTGTTATTGCTCTCACTCTATGTAGACTTTAGTGGCTGTGTGTTGAGTTATTTTGAGGGGACAGCAAATTTACACTGTTATACAAGCTGTACACTCACTACTTTACATTGTAGCAAAGTGTCATTTCTTCAGTGTTGTCGCATGAAAATATATAATAAAATATTTACAAAAATGTGAGGGGTGTACTCACTTCTGTCAGATACTGTATATGCTACTGTGAGGTAAGGACAGCTTTTCAAACATCTTACCTCTCATAAATCAATTTTATCCTTTCACTGGGTGTAAAATAAAGTGGCAAAGGCTGCACATGCCAGTAAACGGGATTTCATGCACTGCAGTCTGCAGCTCATCATCTAGACCAAGTGTGCCCAACCCTGCTCCTGGCGATCGACTGTCCTGCAAAGTTTAGCTCCAACTCTAATCAAAGACACCTGACTTTAATTTTTAGCTGATCTTGAATACCCTAATTAGTTGCTTCAGGTGTGTTTGATTAGGGTTGGAGCTGAACTTTGCAGGAGAGTCAATCGCCAGGAGCAGGGTTGGGCACCCCTGATCTAGACTAATCATTTCTTGATTCCAGCATTGAATATTATAAGGTAAATGTTTCTGCTGTTTTATTTTATTTTTTAACCCTTAGAATTTGGTCAGGATTATTCATAAAGTCATAAAATGCATATTGAATAAACAAATTGCTGTTCAAAAGTTTGGGGTCAGTAAGATTTTTTGATATTTTTGAAGTCTCTAAGTTCACCAAGGCTACATTAATGTGATTTAAAAATACTGTAAAAACTGTAAAGTGAAAAATTATTACAATTTAAAATAACTGATTTCTATTTTAATGTTATAAAATGTAATCTGTAATGGCAAAGCTAAATTTTTAGCAGCAACCAGTGTCGCATGTTCCTTCAGAAATCATTGTAACATGCCGATTTGATGCTCAAGACACATTTATCATAAATTTTGAAAACAGTATGCTGCTTAAAATTTTTATGTAAACTGTGATCAGCTTTTCTCAGGATTCTTCGATGAATAGAAAGTTCAAAATAAAAAAATAATTTGAAATTGAAATCTTTTGTAACAATGTAAAGTCTTTACTGTCACTTTTGATCAATTTAAGGCATGCTTGCTTAAAAGTATTAATTAAGATCTTACTGACCCCAAACCTTTGAATAGTAATGTACACAAATTATTACTTATTTAATGGTTACTGGTTGATATTACAGTTCTTTTTAATATCACTACTGGTCAGTATTTCATATTTTATCAGTTGATATTGGAAACTTAATTATGCATTCTCAATTAAACGATCTTTGCTTTGATATAACATCCTATTAAATTTCATCTTTAAAAACACCTAACCATTTAATAACATTGTAAAGTACAATCTTTAACATATTACTTAAATACTATTACAGCATATACTCTGCTGATACACTCAGTGGCAAGTTCAAATACAGTTTGCACACAGAAATCAGACAAAGGCATCATGGGACACTCAATACTTTACTGGAATGTTGGAGACAGCATGTGCAAAATGAACAAATGTAACTCGCTTCATTAGCAACTGTACAACACTAACAAAAATAAAACACCTCCACATTCTTAATGTGGCTCAAGTTTCTTTTTTATACTACAAATTGTAACAGTCAACATAAATACTTTTACTCCCACAAACCACAAATAAGATGACAATTATTTGTGCATATTAAGTTGCTGCCACCTTTTCACAGATTAAATCAGATATCAGACATTGCAACAGGTGGACCCCAGGTAAGCAAAATTCAGGGTCAAAGAGCAAGGTTAGCAGATGTTTTTGTGGAGTGATGTTTTTAGAAGTGATGTTCTTGTTAACATTTTAACTTGTTATTGCATGGTCCTCAGGTCAGAAGCCAATGTCAAGTTGTATCTTCTGCTCAAAAACAGCAATGATAAGCATGATGCCAAAGCCTAGGAGTATCCCAGCATTCTGCAGGAGGAAGAAACCATAGTGACTGAAGCCTGCTTCACTCGCATCATTGTGTAACATCTCCGGTACCTATAAAACACACAAAAAGGTCAATTTTAGAGATCACGGTTTCAACTAGGTAAACACAAATGACCATAATGTGTTGCAAAAAAAAAAAATTTAATATATATATATTTCACACTAAAAATATATATGTTTCCTTAAAAATACATACAGTAATTAGATACTATATATATTGAAAATAAAAAAGAACATTGCAATTATTTATATATTACTACAGTTTTTATTAATATTTTGAAAAGGTGTTTTATATTTTCAGTTTTCATTTGAATTTGCAAATTTTGTTTTGGTTTTTATTTTAGACAGTAATTTTAGTTTTTAGAATTTCAGAATTTCTCTGTTTCTGTGCTACTCACCATGTCCACAAGAGCGACGTACAAGAACAACCCAGCCGTGAGAGCAAAGATCCATGTAGCAACATTTTCAGCATAATGACCAATCAGAATGCCTGTGATCATGCCTAAATATCCCATCAGGGCTGAGAGTAGATTGTACAGGATGGCCTGTCGTACTGACATACCCGCCTTCAGCAAGACTGCAAAATCACCTGCGTAAATTTAAAAAAAAACATTTCAAAGCAATGTGATGAACAACAACCGGACTTCTGATTCCTTTGCCAATTCCATACACCGATTCATTTCTAAAGACAAACATAACTGTCACTGTGATGACAGACAATGTCTTACCAAGCTCATGAGGAAGCTCATGACAGAACACAGCGACTGAGGTACTAAGACCACTGGACAAACCTTCAGTGAAAGCCGCCCCTAAAATACAAAATTGCATATAATCTTTAAATGCTGTTCCAAAGTATGCAAAAGCCTTGGTATGCATTTTTTGTGATAAACATTTTACACATCAATTTTATTATATGCACAGTACATACAGATGTATATTTAGCATTAACTAACTAATTGTAACTATGTACAGTTGCCAAATCCTCTGAGAACAAATTAAGATTTTTTTATTTAAATATATTTTTATTTATATAAATAAAAAAATAAATTTTAAATTATATGATATAAAAAAGAAATTATGCATTTTAAAGGTATACATAAAATATTTTTTTTAAAACTATTTATATATAAATATAAACAAGTTGGGAAAGCCTGTATGTGATTTGTAAATACATGCAAAAACAGGTGGTTTCAAAAGTGAAAAACTATTTATATATAAATATAAACAAAAGAAAGCCTGTATGTGATTTGTAAATACATGCAAAAACAGGTGGTTTCAAAAGTGCACCAACAAGTTTATCAAAGCCTGTATAGTGGACACTGTATGCATAAACTTTTTTACACTTGTATTGCACGTCCAAGGTTTCATTTGTTCTGTGTGTGTGTGTAAAACGTACCTATGGCAAGTCCGTCGCTGAAGTTGTGAAGCCCGTCTCCCATGATGACCATCCAGGCGAGCGTGGCCACGCCGGCCTCCTGGAAGTGCTGGAGCGAGTAGGAGTGTGTGTGTCGGTGCGTGTGTGTGTGCGGGTGGTGGTTCTGGGAGTGGTGGTGATGCAGTATGTGGTGATAGTCATGGTGATGATGATGTTGCTCATCTGATTGGCCAACAGTGTCATGGAAGTGGGAGTGGCATTTGTTTTCACAGTCAACATCATTGTAGAGCTCTGCCCCCAACATCACCTCCTCTTCCTCTGCAACACCCCGCCCACATGCACTTCCACCATTTGTTTCAGCATTACCCTCAATCGTCTTGACATCATTGTCTTCTAATGACGGCAGTTTCTCAGATTCCAAAACTTCTGTGGTGAACTCAACCCTCTTTTGCACCTACAAGCATAAAAATAACATTTTAAATTACAGAAATTCAAGGAACACCTCTATGCAACATCCACATCATTATAACATTTAGGAAATTAATATTATGACTTTTGAAATGGCTAAAAGAAGAATGTGAATTACACGACTATAACATGAAATAGGAGATCTTAGACTTGCTTTTCTGACCTTCTGTTTTTTGTCCTTGTACATTTTGCCGAGGGTCAGGAAGTGTTCGATGAGGAACATGATGTAGACTCCACTCAGAGCTGTGAGCCCCGTCCACACCGGCCGAAGGGAATCCTCTTCCACCTCTTCACCATGGTGATGATGCTCAGAGTGGCCGTGCTGGTGATGACTCTGAGACTGAGAGACGCCAATCAAAGGTCAGGACATTTTAAATAACATGCCTTTGACTTTTTATTTTGTAGAATAGAGAAAAACATGTCTATAATACACACTACCATTCTGTTTAAAAGTTTGGGGTCAGTAAGATTTTGTTTACGTAATTAACACTTTTATTCACCAAGCTTGCATTAAACTGATCAAAAGTTAAGAGGAAAGACATTTACAAAGTTACAAATGTATCACAGTTTCAGAAAAATTAATTTAATTAAGCAGCACAGCTGTTTTCAGCATTGGTAATAATAAGAAATGTTTTGTTGAGTATCAAATCAGCATACTGGAATGATTTCAAAGGGTGATTTCTAAAGTGCATGATTTCTAAAATCAGTTTTGCATCACAGGAATAAATTACATTTTAAAATCCAATAGAAAACAGAAACAGTTTTCAATTAGAAAACAGATGTTTTTAATTGTAATAATATTACTTTTACTGTTTTTTTTATTCAAATGAGCAGACTTTTAAAAACATTTAAAAAGTCTTACTGACCCCAAATGTTTGAATGGTAGTTTATGTGCATTTGTAAATAT